AAAGATAAATGTAATGATGATTTAATTACAGAGAAAAAACTTTAGATGTCTCTTTCATGTAAACTAGACATTAAAAAAAAAAAACCAGTTGTTGAAGGCTTAAGCTACACACCCAAGTGTAAAATAGAAAGCACATCTTGAAATGTGGGATTGACAAGGAACACTGGAACAAAGATATCAAGGAGACTTATTAGGTCTCTGTTGCTGACATCTTTCAGGTGGAAACTGTACTTCTGTGAAAGATATACTTAACTAAAGTGGAGGAATATTGAGGAAAATAATGAAGTCCTGCATAACACAGGGAGCCAGGAAGGTGGCGTAGTTGTCCACTGTGGTTTAAATTCCATGCAATGCTAGGTTAGCACCCAATCTTTCTATTTTTTGTTGGTCAGCAATATTGGGCCATGGACTTTTCTGAGTCACAACTAATTACCTTCTGAAGCTCCTGACATCATTCTGAGCACTGGTGTAATAGTATCAAGTTGCTGCAGCAGTAACATGCTGCTCTGAATGCCTGAAGGCAACAAGAGGGACACTGAAATATTGTGTATGAATGTAGTGCCCACAGAATGGTCTAATGTTTCTCATACAGGAATAAGAAAAAAGGCTTGAATAGCTGGCCCCCTTCTCCCAGTGACCAGAACTAAAAACAAAGGCTCTTACTTAGCAAGGTCTCATGTCTAACATAAACCACTTCACTAAAGATAAGAAAACTAAAAAATTATATAAAGTCACTAGTGGTAGAGCCTTTTGTAAGAACAGAAAAGCTTTGAGGACTCCCTGCACCACAGGAAAACACAACACTGGCTAACACATGTGAGTGAAAGTGGGTACCGTGGCAAAAGGAGAAATGTAAGGGCAGTACATGCTCATGCAAAATTTAACTAAGTTCACTCAAGACATTGTCACAACAAAGATGACCTTTAAATGAGTATTGTATATGTCTCAGGTTGGTTGAAGAATGAGAAATAAATTCACTGTGTGGTGTCTGGATACGGCCAGATTATCATGTAGCTACTATTTCTTCTGGCATAACCATTACTTTCCTTTTCTAAGTAACACCCTAAATCTCTCTTTTTTTTTTTTTTTTTTTTTTTTTTAATTTTTTAGAACTACAGCAAAGCTAAGTAGTTTCTTTTCTGTAGACACAGAAGCATGGTAGTAAACAGAAAGCGAATTGCTTCACTTCAGCTCACAATTCTGTTCCTCCTTTTTTATTGCCCTGCAAAGGAAACAAGCTCTATAAGTCTGAAGATCGTTATTTGTACTACCTCATTGCTCATAAAGGCTGCTCTCTTCTGCATAAAACAAATGCGCAGAATAAGGTGACATAACATGGGAGGTGAGAGGGAAAGGTGTCACAATAAGTGAAAAAAGAATGTGAATTAATTAATTTACTCTTATAAACATAACCAATACACTTGGCTAAATGCTAGACTACTAATGTGTTTATTCAAAAAATAAATATTTATGCATTTTGCTACTAATTTAGTATTGAAGAACTAGTATGCATAAGAATCCAATTTTTATTTATCATCACACTAGTTGTTCTCCATGACTGCACTGCTTCAAATTTTAAATGAATTTGGAATTTTCTCTTAAGCAAAGCCAAAATATAGAGCATGCATCCTAATGGAGGATCCTTTAATGCTAGACAGATCTAGTCAAAAGAGCTTTCAGGATTTCACCTCTCTCGTTCTGAATGAACTCACTGCAGCACATTTCTGTAAACTTACCATGTTAGCATATGCTGTTTTCTGCAAGCTCTTTCATCTTTTGGGACATCTGACAAGCAGCCAGGGAAACCAACTCAGACAAAAGACACTTCACACACTTCTGTCATCAAGTTCCATGGCTGACACATTTGTGTACCATTATTAAATGTGTAAGAACCTAACCTGCTCTTTGACATGGGAACAAGATCATATTCCAGCATGATCATATAGTAGTAATAAATCAGATCACCAAGCCACAGAAAGTGACATATTTATTATTTTAATAATCATTTGTTGGCTCAGATGATACCATGTAACTCTATCTACAGAGCATCCACTGGACAAAAGCTGTTACCACTTTATTTGAAATAATGTATTGATCCCCCTTTGCTCTTGAAATAAAATACCTACGGTCATCATCTAATTCAGTGATATAAATTTACACTTGTAAACCAATTTCACATATATGTCAATAAGTATTTTAAGGTTGGCATAACTCTGAACTCAAAATCTACAAATCTATTAATCTTCATGTTCAGTATAATTATACAATGATATATAATTATACTCATTCTATTACCATAATAATTATTATATGTATTTTCACTATGCAACTTTTGATGCAGATTATTCCTGTAAGGTGAAAGAAATACTACTATCCAAACTTATTCCTCTTAATAGGGGTACATTTGTCCTAGTTGACTCTACAGCAAATTCAAGGAGATGGCTGCCCACTCTGGGCATTGTCTCAGTAGTTCTAATATTAAAGTCTGATCTTGGATATATAATAAAATCCCACTTAAAACACTCTGAAAATGAATGGTTCTGACCAGTTCAAAGAGTGAAGAAATCGACTGGAATGGCTCTTTTTCTACCATTTCTACCTCATTTTGTACTGCCAATCACCTAAGTCACTAGCTTTAACATCAGTCTTCTACGCGTTTCTTTGAGTTTTGACAGTATCACCATTAACACTGTTAATTTTCCTCAGTTCCTTTTAATACATGTTGAGAGGTTTCTACCTTACACATTTAATGATTTTCCTCTCAAGTCTTTATTAATTTAAGTCTAATTTTCAAAGGAGTTGAACACTTAATGCTGCAGAGGTCAAGTGGGATTTAGAACTTTGAATGTAACAAGAACAATGTGAATGGAAAGCTTAAAAAAAAAAAGCAGATTCTCAGAGTGTGGCACCCATATTGAATAGATGCTTTCAAATGTTTTGGAGATGTTTTTTTTTTTTCCTAATATGTTACAGTTCCAGTTTGCAGAATGGTCACAATATCACTTTTAGGTCTGAAAAATATGTTGAAGAAAAATCATCACTTAGTCACACACTCAATATTATGCTTTAATTTTCAAAAGACAGCCGATAACAAAATCAGTAACTTCATATGATGTGAAAGATTTGGAGGATCTGTTTGAAGCAGAACAGAGGAACATGACATCTATAATTAAATAAAAAGGAGTATTTAATAGCCATTAGATGTGCACTGTCCTGTTTGTCATTAAACAGAGCAGAAATCTTGTTATAAACAGAATGTTATTGTGTAATTAAATGTATTGGAAATGCAAATGCACATGGGATTTGAATTAAGATTGCAAACCATGTTATTAATGCTTGGGCAGGGGTGGCAAGCAGAAAGAATACTGTTGTGAGCATCTCACTGGTAGAATGATAAAGACAGATGCTGAGGCTCTACAGTCTGCTGTTCTCATTGTTTGACTCAAGGCAACTGTGTGCATGGCTCAGATCAGTGCTCCTGTTTTTATAGATATGGGAGTGATACAGAAGTTTATGTGCAAATAGGAAATGTCCATCAACCCCCTAATGCCCACTGCAAAATGGAAAATAAAAAAAAAAAAAAGTATTTCCAAATTAAGTTATCCACCATTACATACAATACAGTGTATTAATCCTGAATCTTTGCCTCAAAAAATTAAGCTCAAAGACTGATGTCTCTAAAACACAGCCATATTTATAACTGTTCCTAAAGAAGACCTAATAAACTATTTCTGCAGATTCAATATTCCACAGAAAAACACTCTCAAATATGCTAAAATTGGGTACCCATAGTTTCTCAGTATGGATATTTAATTGCATAACAGTAAGAGTCACAGTAATTATAAAATCATTAATAGCATGTTATTCACCACATAACTCGATTCTTCCTTACTACACTGACTTTTTCTCAACAAGTTGTCAATCCTTACTGTGAAAATTAAATAACCTCAGCTTTCAAATTGTCATGTTCAATTTAAGTGAAATTTAGTACTATTTTTATAACTTAAAAAACAATATAAAACATAGCTTCGGGGCCTACATACTATTCCTCATTTTGTTCAAGAACTGGTCTTCTGTTATTATTATTACAGTTACTGGAATTATTAAACTGGCCTTTACTAATTCCCTGTAGCTGACTAAGATCAATGATGAGTAATACTAAATCCTTCAACTTCAGGTAATTTAACTGAGATATTAAGTATCAAGATGCCTGAACCAACCAAGAGTTAGTGAGAGACACAACTAAAAAACCACAAACAAGGCACGATTTAATTCATAAAAATATTGAAATCTTTGAGTCTGAATACCTTCCCAAACTTTTAGGTGTAGACTATATTATAAACTCTCAAAACTGAATTATTTCTTGTGATACCACACTCATAAATATTTGTTATCTGTTTTACTGAACTACCAAAATTCAGTAAGTCAGGAAAAACAAGAACGTAACATAAACCAGCCAGTCATTTAAATCATTATATTAAAATCCCGAATAAGCAAAGTTCTATTTCAGGTCTTGGGTATAATCTCCCCCCTGACTTACTGTATCTCTTTTCTTCATATCTGTATGTTAGGCTCTGACACTTCGTAACAGCACCCACAACAAAACTTGGGTCACTAGTACTGGTTTCTGTTAATATTTTAGATAATGATCCTAAATTAATATTTTTATATATCTTAGATGTAGTAAGGTGTGTTCTATCCTCGCAATAAAATGAAAACTTCTGAGAAATTTTAATATTCTTTCACTTAAAATTACAGTAGAAACATATTGTACAAATGACAATATCTACATCTGTGCTGCCAGTCATTAAAACACTTTAGATGGTTGAAATTGTTAAATCTCCTTCAACTGAAGAGAAACCTCAAATGTCAAAGCTCAGTTTGTTGTCAGCATGGTTCATACTCAGCTGCTACCTTTCCATTTTTTATTAGTGCTTAGAAAGAAGTCACACATCAAGGTCAGTTAGCACACTCACCAGTTGTTCACCGAGTTTACTCACCCTTTGACCTTCTTTGCCAGGTGGACCTTGGGGACCCTCCAGCCCTGGCAAACCCTGAAAATACATATTAAATAAGTATAACACTCAGTGTTATTTTCATCCTCTATTATTCAATAAAAGTAAGACTAAGTCAAAGAGCCAGATATCAAGACAAAGCATTTATTTCTAATAATAAAAATAGGTTATTCATAGTAAGTTCTTTCAGGAAAATGCTACATTCAGGTGAGAGAAAAAAATGCAAACAATAATAATTGATCACAGTCCTCCATTCAAAGGCTGAATCATTTGGAAAAGAAGAGGTAAGTCAGCACTACTTAAGCATAGTTATATTTAACTACAGTGTTATATGAAAAGTGATTTATCTTGTTAAATTAGGATGCCATAAGAAAAAAAAAATTAAATGAATGACAACTTTACAGCTAAAATACAAACACAGGCACTGAAGGGGGAGGGGAAGGGAAGGGAGGGGAGGGAAAGGGGACTAAATATAGCAGAAGGCCTTACACTCGCTGTGTTTTATGAACCAGCCCTGTGCAGCTTCCTCTGTGTGCCTGGCTCGGCTTTTCAAAACCCTTCAGAGCCACTTCTCTCACTTCTCTCTCGCTCTCTTCCCTGACCAGGCACAGGAGCTTTGGGTGTTCTGAATATACTCTCGCCTTGTGAGCCTTCCTTCTGAACTCAGCGCAGGGATCTGCCTTTTCAGTCACAGACAGAATCACAGACTGTTTCCAACCCTTTGGGGCTTTTATATCTGATTAATGTAAACTATAATCATAAAGCCTTCAAATAACAGCTCTGTGCTTAGAATAGTGTCACGTCGTGTGTGTGTGTGTGTGTGTGTCCCGCCCTTTACTTTACGAGTCACCTTGGAACACAATTTTTAAAAATAATTACTTTGAGGAAGCTATCCAATTTCCATTACAGCAACAAGAAATATGAAGTCAGTTTCAATGTAATCAGTAAAGAGCTGCTTACAAAGTTCTACTTTGTAAATTTAAAAAGCTTTGAATGTAATTTTGCATATTCTTACAGGCTATCACAAAACTAAAGGACTTATGTTTAGTTTATTTAAGAGTTTGAAATACTAAAATATTAAATTCTTAGCCATTTAAATATCTAGACTCAGGCATTGCTTCAGCTTAAGTAATATATTTGGCCAAATTCTGAACTATTTGTTTAGAATCATATATATTTATTGTCCCAATAAGAGTAAACTGAGGCCCCCTGAGAATCATGTTTTCAAAAAATGTTCAGATTTCCAGAAATGAATTAATAAAGTTCATTTATGATCTCTAATTCTCAAGATAAACTTGAGAAAGTAAGTTGGCATGCCAAAGCTGCTAGCTCATATATCTTCAAGTGATGTTTAAAGTTGATTAGAATGAAGTCTGACTTCAATTTTAAATAGAAGTTCAAGAGTTTTTTTATACCTATAATTTCTCTACGTTCAGACACTGAACCTAGAAGAGTACTTCACACAGTATTTCACCACTGAATATTTCTCCTTTCACTTCAGTTTATAATGTAAACAAGATAAGGTTTAGGATCTTTTACAAAACTAATGCACATCATTTCCATCTTTCCCCCAAAGTTTCTGGAACTAGAATAGGTATGACAATGTTGTGTCCAACAAATAAATCATGGTAAGTTAATTACAGTGCAGTTATGTAGCTTATACATGCACAAACCCATAAAGCAGTATGTGAATGTGACCTCTATAAACCCTCTCTACTTTTTCCTCAAGGTAGTTTGGAACTTGCAGAGAGTTATGTCTGTCCAACTCTTAGCCAAATTCTACCTTTGTAGAGAAATTCTGGGAATTCAGGAAGAGGTGGAGTTTTGTTTTGTTCATATTTCATTTCCAGTGACAACTTTATGCGAGGGAACAAGATGAAAATGTGTAATGTCTGTTTTATGGAGAAGGAAATACTTAGCCTCACATATCTGTAAAATAAGGCTCCAAGGGGACAAAAATTACACAAGAATGTAACTGCACAATAATGATAATTAATAGCCAACATTTTTGTCCAAGAGCTACTTTTATTCTTTTTCTTCTCTCTACAATATTATTGTCAAGAAATAGGAACCAGATAAGGAGGTTTATCTTCGAGGAAAGGGAGGAGAGCAGCTTACAATTGGTAACTAGGCAGGGAGGACTACCCTGTACAAGGAGCCATATCCTGACATTGAAACTGAGGTAAAAGTTCACACTAACTTCAGTGGGATCTTCTGTTTAAAAAGTGATAGGACAACATGGGCCATGTTAACTGACATGGATGTAAAACTGTAATAACTTGGCAATGGTAATGACTTAGCAATGCTATCCCTGTTCAGCATTCACTGAATGAGAGCCTGGAAAAACAACTGAAGAAGAAACCTGCAGGAGAAATGAAAAAGAAAACTTATCTACAGTGAAATCTGTCTAAAGGGATGAATAAAACATCACCTGTTGAACTCCTGTAAAACTTGGCAATGAATGTTAATAGTTTAGCACAGAAAAGAAGTACATATTTGTAGGAAGGCAGCCCAAAGTGTCTGCTTAGGTCTTAACCCTGTTTAACTTCTGGAGATCTCCCTTTGGAGATTCTCGACTCCCTCAAACCCCAGACAGCACAGTCACGGATGGGACAAACCCCACCAAAGGAGCCCACCACTGCAGACAGAAAGGAACAGTATATAGACGGAATATATACAGGCAGCCTCACGAGACATGCCGTCGATTGTGTTGAAAACATTTATGTCAGAAGGCAATCTATTTCTCACATACCATCTCCCCAGGTAAACAATGTCTAAAGCAATTAAAATGATTCACTATGTGTCACACTAGTAGTCTTGCACTGGCGATGAGCAAAAGGAGGTGTAGAAATAACACAAGGCAGTGTGAGATGTAAGAAGAGCCTATTCTTGTGACATCAGACTGGCAGGAAAATAAAATGCATCCCTACAGGTAGCCTCATGTGCATGGGATTTTCCTGACTCTTCCAGGACACCTTTGAGGTTGGAAGGTGTTACTCTTCTACCTGATTCATGGAGAAGTGAACTAAAATAACATATGCAGTGTTTAGGGCTTGTACCTGTCACGGACCAGGCAAGTCCCCTGGAGCTATGTGCCTGAAGGAGCTTGAGGAACATGAAGTGGAAATATCTCAAACATTACCATGTAGCTTAGGGGAAAAAAAAGTCAGTAAGCTGAAGATTGGCTCAGGTGCATCTGAAACTTAGAAAATCTATTAAAATGAGTGAGGATGGCTATGAAAAGAGATGAAACATGATGCACAGCAGGCAAAAGAGGGTTGTACAAACCCTTGAAAATTAAGAGCGGAAACTTGTGAACTCCTTTATAGGAGGTAAATTTTAAAGGGAAGTGTTGGTAAGGGAAAATATGCTGGTTGTGAAGCTAGATAAAGAAAGAGCAAGCATGCTATGAAGCACATGCTGACAGATATTTGAACAAAGTATCATCAAAACTTAGACTAAGATTTAGTCAAGGGAATACAGGAAAAATGACAGGTTTAAAAAACGGTACAGTAGAATAAATGAGCTTTTAAAAGAACTTGCATTTCATTGAAAATGTATGTAAGAATTAACATTTTAATACTTAACAGTTAATATTTTTTTGCAAGTATCATGAGGTAAAAGCTAATAAGAATTATTAAACTTGAGATGGTAGAAGAAAATTGTGTTTGGAAGTAATAGAAAAGTTAGCTAACAGTTCAGCCAATTAAGCTGTTTTGAGATTCATAAGCTATCAGTTTAAAGTGTATTAGCTGGCATGTAGCTATCAGGAGCCACTTATTACAGAAGGGCCCTGCAGGTACAAAACCATTTTTAAATGCCTGATACATCATGACAAGCATCCACAGAGACATGGTGGAGACTTGCTTCACAAATTTAATAGCTCGGAGTAACTTCCTAAGAACACACTCTTAACAAAAGAAAAGCTTTTATTGTGACCCCTTAGTGAATTAAAGCAAAACAAACAAGAAATATCCTAGCTGAAGTGGAAGAGTGAAGTTACTTAAAGTTGTTATTCGTATTACTTCCTCCAGAAGCTTATGCCCGATGTCAGAAGAGTAAAATATTAGACAAGTAAGTATATTTTTGGTATTCTGAAAGTTGCTGCAAAAGATAGCCAATTGTTTTTGAAGCAGAAGGCTAGACAGCTGCCTTATATACTTGTAGATAGTGTTAATGAAATAGGTTCTGAGCATGGCAGCCTTTCCTTCTCAACACACATTAGAAATATAATACAAATGCTAACAATAATAAGGCAAGTCTAATTAAGGCACAAAAATTATTTCATTATAGACCTTTGTAGACTGGATTCTGTGTTCTATACACAAACTACTCTCATCCATTTTTTTCTTCACTATGAATTCCAGCAAACACATGACCTTAATTTTTATGGAATAAATGTGACTAGACAGAGACAAAGTATATGTAGTTTAGCAAGATGAGTCAAGCAAAGACAGAGACAAAGCTTAAATTGGGTATGCAGAAACACCTTGTGGTAATGTAAGAATAGGTGATTTTTAAAATATTTGAATATGCAAGCTTTTATAATGTTAAAACTTGCAGCTTTAAAAAGACCCAACTATAATAGACATGATTTGCCTAAGCAATGTGGAAACTATGTTTATGAACAGAAAGTGGAGCTCTGCTGAAACAAAATCAACACTTAAACCCTTTTACAAGCGAACTGGTGGGCAATCCCACTACAGGGGCTTGACCTAGTTCTTCAATGCACAGTTCTCACTAGGATAATGCAAGCTGTCACACTGATTAATTACATATACAATGACCCCTTTGTAAAACCCACAAGTAGAGTAGCCTAGAATCACACAAATCAATAGTCAGGTAGAAAGCGACCATAGATTTCCAAATTCCTGACGTAACACAATGTGTGATCACAGTAAAAATCTGCAGCCTGACTGACCCGAAAAGCATTCCCCAGCCACCCAAATACTACTTGTGGGATGGATGGTGCTTCTGGGGCTGCACTCATGTAAGAATGTCCCAGCATCCCAGATAGGATGCATCAAGATGCAGTTCAG